AAAAAAAAAAAAAACACCAAGAAAAATGAATGACAATGTGTCATGGAGGCTATAACATCTGTATAAGCAAGTATGCTATAACAACAGCATTAAGGCCAGGGGAGGGGAGGGTGGAGGTTACTACTGAAGGTTCCTATACTATACATGGAGTGGTGTGATACGACTTGGAGGTAGACTGTGTTAAGTTAAAGATTTACTGTAAGCCCCGAAGCAGCTACTAAATAAAATGAGTTTTTGAGGCTACAGTTGAACCCAACTTTACCACCATCCAATTCATCCATGTATCAAAAAACTACTTGTATCCCATAATCTACTGGGGGGTAAAGAAGAGTTAGAGCTGATAAACCAACAAAGGAAGTAAGATAAAATCATAAAAAAATAATACAAAAGAAAATAGAAAAGAGAGGGGACAAAGAACAGATGGGTCAAAAATAAAACAAGTAGCCAGATGACAGACTTAAACACAACCCTGTCATTCATCACATTCACTATAAACTGTCTGAAAAATTAAATTAAAAGACAGTTTTCAGGGTGGCACCTATGGCTCAAGGAGTAGGGTGCTGGCCCCATATACTGGGGGTGGCGGCCCCGGCCAAAACTGCAAAAAAAAAAAAAAAAAAAAAAAAAAGAATAAAGTGGAATGTAGACACAAGATGTATGCTAAAACCAGACAGACCTCAAAGACATATTGTTAAAGGTAGAAAGCAACTTGCTGAACAACATATAGCTTTAGACCAAAGAAAGACAGGAAGGTCCATTTCCCTACACTCCATCAACACGTTCCAGAGTCCTTCACTGCTTACTATGGTACTAGTCTTGCTAAATCATTTCAGAGCCTCACATCATTGGCTTTACTGACTCTATTTTCATCTGTTAATGTGTTCATCTCCATAACTAACTGTGCTACTTCAGACCAGGGACCATGACATCTACTCCAACCTGGCACTTAGCACAGATCCACACATAAAACAGGTGCACAGGAGTATCTGTGAAGGGCTAATGATATGTAAACTATGAAGGAGAAAACCTTTACAAGCAAAGGAACTAAAACAGTCATTAAATGGGAAAATCAGGACCAAGTTTTACACTGTCAATATGCTTTATACTGTCACAAACTCTTTTGGAAATTCTAGTAACAAAATCTGTGATTATATTTTCTTTCTCAAGAGAAAAAAAAATTTTTTTTTTTTATTGAATGGTAACTATGTACATTAATGCACTTCTGGGGTACAGTGTGGGGTTTTCACATAAGAGAAAAATTTTTTATATCACTCAAATATGTGAATAAAAGCTTAAAAACCTAGAAGTAAGATATTTTCATATTCTACAACTTTAATGAGACTTACTGTCTATCCGGCATTGATGCTACCGATGAGCTTATTAAGGCCACGGATGATATCTGCAAACTCTACAGCTCTTCTGACTATCCAACATAACGTCTTCTCACTGTTAAAAAAAGTGACAAGTTAAAGGCAAATTCATATCAAATTATAGTCATAAACAAAATCAAAGTCCAAAATAGATAATGCTTATAATATAAATATGTACTATACTATTCCAAAGAGAAAGCATGAAAGAAAAATGACAAAAAAGATCTCTGTCACCAGTGGAGGTAACTACTGCACTGGTTATATCAAGGGAAAGAACCAAGCATTTACTCTGCCTTTTAAGTAGAACACTATTTCTAGGTAACAAAACAGCTCTCGCTGATGAGAGAAATCTTATCTTTACAGAGGTGGCTAGCTACTAAATGTAAAAGGAACAACAGAACCTAAAACTAAATTACATTTTGTAACCCATAATTAAATAGCTGATCAGGAATCATTAATGAATGCTGAAATCATCAGGTAGAAGGTTGATAGAAAGTGACCTCGTGTCAAAGTACCATCCTGTGGATTACTATTTACTAGATGCAAAAAGAAAAATACACCTTTACAACAAAACGATCAGGTTCTCACCACCTTAGCTTGGTGATCAAACACACGTACGGCATCAAAATAGTGAGACTAGGCTCGGCACCCATAGCTCAGTGGCCAGAGCGCCAGCCACATACACCAAGATTGCCCGGCTATTTTTTGGTTGCAGCCGTCGTTGTTTGGTGGGCCTGGGCTGGATTCGAACCCGCCACCTTGGTGTACGTGGCTGGCGCCTTAGCCACTTGAGCCACAGGCGCCAAGCCAATGTGCTCTCTTAATTCCAGAAACTGAGCAAAAAGACTTGTGAGTATTATGCGCTTTTGTCAAGGCCTAAGCGACCTGGGAAAGCGCAGTGGGGGCCTGCAGGCCAGGCCTAACAACCTCCTACATAGAGCCCCGACTGTGCAGTCAAGTCAGCCTGCCAGATAAGGGTTGAAATGACCCATCTGTGCAGGGGACATGACTCCAAGGTCGGTATGAGTGAAAAGAACACTCCATCGTTTGGTGGGGGAGGAGCCTCCAAACCATAAGAAAACAGTCAGGGAGCCTGTTTCTGGGGAATTTAATTGAGTACACAGAAGAAAAAGATTTTACTCCCCTGTTTATCCTGACCTTTAATTTCAAGGATAGAAGTCAGATAATGAAGTTGTTTTAGGTCTTCAGAGAGGAACAGCCTGAGGCTAGTCTTAAGATGGTCGTCTTACTTTCCCAGACTTTCTTTCTTTAGGCTAATCTTATGATGGTTATCTCACTTTCCCAGACTTTCTTTTTTTTCTACAGTTTAAGGTAAGATTAGAGGATGTTGGGCAGTGCCTGTGGCTCAAAGGAGTAGGGCGCTGGCCCCATATACCAGAGGTGGCTGGTTCAAACCCAACCCTGACCAAAAAAAAAAAAAAAAAATAGAGGCTGTTAGGATTATTGATCAATGTGGTATTGTGAGGACTAGATCAGCTCCATTTTGTTGTTTCCACATAAGTTCTGTTCCTGGGCCCTGGCCTGCAGGGTCCACCTTGTAACCCTCCCCATTCCATTCCTAGTTGCTTAAACCATACCCGCAGGGCCCACCCTGCAACCTTTGTCATTCCTTTCATAGTTACTCAACCAAATAGTCACCTGTACCAATCCAAATTCACCTTTACTAGTGAAATCATCAGCTACTAATGCAAATCCTCCTTTACTTCCTCCTTTACTAATGAAATCACCAACCACCAATGAAAAGTGTACTCGTATCCAACCCTACCCCTCTTGCTTTCTGTACCCCATAAAAACTGCCTTCACCCCGAGTTCGGGGCTCGTCCTCGGCTTGCATGCTGGGCGAGTCCAGGCCTGTCTGAATAAACGTCACCTCATGCTTTTTACATCGGAGTGTGTCTCGAGTTCGTCTGTTGGGGTTGATTTGGGAGGATTTCTCGGACCCAACAGTATATGTGACTAGCCCCCAATAAAAGGGAGTAGAAAATAAAGACATTTTGCTACATGCCATCTAAGAGTATGTAGTTGTTTCTTGCTTTCATACAATTCGAGGAGCAAGCTTGCACCCGCGGCCAAGCCATCCTTCTCTCCCCGCGAGAAAACAACACCCAACACAGACCTGCTAAACAATAATGACAACTGCAACCAAAAAAAAAAACAAGGTATTGTGGGGGCACCTGTAGTCCCCGCTACTTTGGAGGCTGAGGCAAGAGAATCACTTAAGCCCAGGAGTCTGAGGTTGCTGTGAGATGTGAGCCACAGCACTCTACTCAGGGCGACAGCTTGAGACTCTGTCTCAGGGAAAAAAAAAGAGAGAAAGAGATAAATGAAACCTAGTATTCGTAAAGAAACATAGCAACAGAAGACATTATGAGTGTGGTATGAGTATTAGGGAATTACTTGTAATTTTACTAGGAATAATAATGGTTTTGTGGTTTTACAGGACAATGTCCTTTTCCTGGTAGACATGCTAAAGGTCATATGTCTTCTAATTTTTTTTTAAAGAAAAAATTTCAAGCTGAATTTTTAAATGTCAGAGTCCAAAATGCAAACATTTATAACACAAATGAAAAAACAAAATCAAATCTCATTTGCCACTATTAATTTACTTTTAAACCGTTCATAAAATTTACATATACACGTAAACAAAACAAATGTGGCAGACTGCTAACAATTACTGAATCTAGGAGCTGGGTATATATGGTTCCAAGGACCATACTACCTTTCTATACGTCTAAATAGTTTCCTAATAAAAGTTTTCAAAATGGCTCGGTGCCTGTGGCTCAAGTGGCTAAGGCGCCAGCCACATACACCTAAGGTGG